GAGGACCAAAAGTCTGTTTCTCCTGTCCTTCAGCATATTGCTGGGGATTGAGCTCAGATAATCACCATCTACTGTACAAAAACAGGCAAGCCTGGAACCATCCCATTGAAACCAGAAAGAAAATTACTAAGTCAAAGATATTATATTTAACTTCCTGAAAAGCTATGGTTGGACAGAGGAAGAATTATGCTAAAATGGAGAATTCTGCAGAAAATAAAGAATTATGCAGAATGATCCTGGATCTAAATCCAAAGACCCTGAGCAGCAATATTAATACAGGTAGGGCTTCATTATTTTGCTTACTGCTTCATAAACACCTGCTATCTGAGTGAATATTTATTTTGTACAGAAATAAACTGCAAAACTTGTCCTTCTGCATTCAATAAGTTACCTCTAACATTTGTTGCCAAAAAGATAGACTGTACACCCAGAATATAAACTCTGAGAATGGCTGTGCTTGTATTTTGAAAAAATCTGAGAGGGTTAACTTCAGGAAACAGAAAATTGAACTGTCTACTCCAGCTATCAGAATAATTTTCTTGGTAACATCAGTACAACAGAAATATAGGCAGAGATGCTTTCACCAGGGGCAGTGGCTGCTTATGAAGAGAAATTTCAGGGCACACAGAGGCCCTCAGACATAAGATCCTGAAGAGAATGCAGGATGGAAAACCTTATTATGTCCCTACAGAGAGAGAGAGAGAGAGAGAGACAGGCGCCTTTTCCTTTTCCAAAAGTACTTACAGGGGGTGTGTAACATAAACTTGACCCTGATTTTCAAAGTCTCTCTTCTTGGACTGACTACACATATCTACACAAGGTGAAAATACATAGTTTGATGAATGATGCAGAGGGTGTGGGACTGTGAGTAAAATACATCCCTGGCATGTGACTTGAGACTTGAATCTGAGAAACCTGACAAAAAATCCATCATAAGTTTGCTTGTTCTATTGTGTTACTAAATTATGCAATAGAATTACTAAATTTTATCAATCTTCTGTAACATATGGTTTTAGCTTTCTGTATACTTGTGTCCTACAGGTGATAATTAAAAGATAATCAATAACCCAGCCCCTTGATAAAACTTTTCTACATTTCAGACACACCTCCTGTGCCATAAACTTCTGGGTTTTTTCCTTTTTATGTCAATTAAAACTAGTTATACCTTATGGCAATAGCTTTCCTGCTGCCATTTTAGTTAGTCACTTATCTTGAACCAAGAGTTAAAATAACTTACCTGCTAAGTAAATAGTGCCTATTGCCAATAAAACCAGTAGAACTTCCTGCTTTAGACTGAGTGATCTGAACGCATACAACCCATCCTCTAACCAAGCTTTTCAGTATAGCCTGCATTCTAATATTCTGTACTTACCCCATGGACCCATTTCCTGCATAATTTCATAAAAAATTTCCTCTTTCCTCTTTCTGCCTCTTACAAACAGTGAAAAGATTGGTGGCATAATAAAGTAATAGTAGTTTTGATACAACAGGCAGTCAGTTTGGGAGATTGGATGTAACTGACATTTGAGCACTTAAAATTAGCTATTGTATGTCATATTTTTTTTTTATTCTTTCTGGATGCAGACTAAATTTTATTGATTTTCAACAGGGAAATTGTGCTTAAAAAGAGTTTCTGTTATGAACCCAAAGCAAGTGATAAGATTTTTATTTTATGTTTGTGGAGAGGAAGATGGGGAAAATTAGGCCTTAAAACCCAGTAATTAGGCAGTTAAGTGACAGTACAAAATCTGTTAAACATACTGTAAAATTAATTAAAAATTTCAAGACTATTCCAGGGAAATTCTAAGCAGCAATTAGGACTTAATTTTTGCAGTGTTGAAAAGAGTTAGAACTGGTTTTCAAATCAGGCAAATTATCAGGGGAATGCACTGTCACTGGTGCTTAGAGAAGGTGCAGGAGTCTTGCCTATGAAGGGAGGCCATCTCCTGAGAGGGCTCAGAGATGAGCTGTTCCCATCCCTCTCCCTAGCTACAGGAGTGCCAGCACTAACCAGTGGCACTGAGGCTCCTGACTGCCTGCCAGGGAATATAGTCAGCCTCCGTCTAATTTAGCTGGAAACACTCTCTGCATGGTCTCATTGAGCCTGTGCTCCCTCCCCTGTCCTGCACCTCCATGCACTGGCTTTTCCCACAGTGACTAAACAGACCCAGCAAACTCACAGAACCGAGGTGTGATGACTCTGACCCATGGGCAGCTGGAACATTCACCCCGCAGAATTAGCTACAGCCGCAGGGCATGATAAGGATTGAGGTGTGAGGCTCCAGAGGGATGGCAATAAGAGGTAGATTTCCCTCCTAGCCCCTCTCCTGACAAAAGGTGTCAGGATGAGGCAGCTACTCACCACCTACACCCCTGGCTCTGAGAAACCCTTCAGAGAGAGCCTGCTGGGCCCTGCACACAAAGGGTGCCTGAGGAAATCCTGTGGTAGAAACCTGTGCCACTCCTCAGGGCAAAAAAACAGACTGATATTTTGTAAGGGTAGGTCACTCTCAGACCTGTTCTGCTGGCACAGCTGGGCAGACAATGCACTGTGCAGAAAAAAAAAAAAGAGGGAATGCCTTTGGGATTTGGAATGGGAACAACATAAAATAAGGTTACTGAGGAAGATGTGTAGCAAAACATCTTCAACTCTGATTTCTCCCCTCAGAACAGCATCACTCGCATATATCTACTAAACTGTTCTGCTTTACAGCCAAATACTGGGATCTCAAGCCCAGTTTCCAATGACTGTCAGAGAGGGTGATTTTTTTCCAGATAGAGAAATCCGGTAATGTTTGAAAATATCCACTTTCAGAATTAAATGATGGAAATTTATTTGGGCTGGTTTCCTAGAGCAACTGTCAGCTTTCAGATCCCGAAGTTTTCATAGACTTCCAAACTCCATATTCACTTTCTTTGCTTTGTCTGTATACATGTAGGGAGATTAAAATAGTGCATTTGAATTAGGCAGGGATTTCTCAACCAGTGACATTAAGATCAGGAACATATGTGGTGTAGATGCACTGTGAGATGACCAGCTGTGCCCTCAGTCTGTTCAGTCTGTTAAGAGGAGTAAACCTTGAGCTTTAGGCATTCTTGGGTACAGGTTGTGATGTAATAAGAAATGTGGAAGAAAATGAAATATGAAATTGGATAATGTATTTAATTTACTGTGCTAATAGGCAGCAGTCTACTTATGATGTTGCCAAACAAGCATATTTAATATTTTGCTATGGTGAGTTATTCTGGTGGTAAATTAATTTTCAGAGAACTGGAGGGGAAACTAAAATGTAGAACTCAGAATGTACTGCTCTTTATAATTTTTAAGGCAAACTAGATATTTAGAAATGTGTCAGAACAGACAAACTTGTTTTATTTTTCCATAAGAAGCCATGCCAGTTTTCCTCCTTTCTTTTTCTTAAGCAGATTACTGTGATCGCCATTCTTGCCAATAATCAGACTCATTGGAATATTTTTCAAACATGAACACAAATATTGGATGCAAGCAGGTGGAATGAATTAATTATAAGCATATGGTTCTAACATAATTTCTACAGAGTACTGTTGAGACTTCTAAGGGGTCTAGCTATACAACACACTGTGGTAACAAAGCTGCTTTAAGAAATTATCAGTGACATGAATGTAAATGTTTGTGGAGCCAGACTCACTGACAGGCTGAACGCTTTGCCACACACACATTCCTAGCACAGCCTTCAGCTGTAAGCCATGGCAATGGGGTGCTTTACACTGCTCCCCCTGTTGTGTTAGCAGAGATGAACGTGGTGTCAAACAAACACAGCAGGCAGGGACAGGGAGCACTGGTGGGGACATGGTGCTTCCCAGGCCAGTGTCACACAGTGCCTGGTACAGCCACACAATATGTGCTGCAATAGCCCACATCCTCTGTGATTCCTGGCTATGAGTCCTTCTGTGGTAGAGACAACTGCAGTGTTCCTGGCTTGCACTGCTGCTTGACCAATTCCCATTCACCCCTACTAAAGCAAGTTGTCCTTCCCTTTTTCAGTGGAGGAGAGCTCTGAAATAGACTACTGAAAAGCCTGAGTTAGAAAAGATAGCCAGAAAACAATCTTAAAGGGAAAAAAAAAAAAAAAAAAAGCTATCTCAGATCCATACAGGGGCATCAGCTGGAGGCAAGAAGCAGCAGAGGAAGTGTGGGCTGGCCACCGCTGGGATGCCATGCCAGCACCAGGCACAGCTCAATGGCACAGTCTGGTGCAGCACCAGCTAACCTGCTTTAGACTAGAATAATATTGTGGTTTTATACTCCCCACATTTTCATATTGGAATTCCTGAAGGGTTTTTTGACAGTTGATATAAGATGTAGTCAAACTACAAATATAATGACTATTCAGGTTGTAATTCATTATATTGGGTTTTATTTAATTATGCAGAAATGAGATGTGGCACTTTTGAAGATGGCTATGAAGCAGATGAGATCATAAATAGATAAAAATTATTAGATTTTTACAATCCAATCTAATTTCAGATGGGAATTTATTTCTTTATAAAAAGTTTTCTTGTCTTTTCAGTGCATATTTATGATTATCCAAGAGCTCAATTTTGACAACCTACTGTAAGATCAGCACTTTGAAATACCAGATCCCCTTCTCAAAGGGCTCAAATACAGCTTCACATGGAAACTAGTTTCTGTAAATATTGTGTTTAAAATCAGGCTTTATATTCAGATTATTTTTTTTTAATCTCAAACCCTGCAGAATGGCTCAATATGGCACCTCATAGTTGCCATGGAAAGGCAAGAAGCAAACAGAATGGTAGAAATCAGTCCTAAATACTTTTTTCTTAGCAAATATTTCACATACGAATTATCACAATGATTTAGAGCAAAACAGACAAAAAGTCACCCCGACAACTAACAAAAACCACTGGCTCATGTGCAATCCAGCAGATGGTGCTATGATGCAATAAACTGGTTCAAGAGTGCAAGAAATACACTGCATGCAAATATTTTTCTTCTTTACCTGGTGCTGCTGCTTTTTTGGTGGCTGGGTTGGCTGCAGGAGCTTTTGCTGGCTCTTAAAAAAAGTAAAAATAAAAGAAACCATTTATTGCAAAGCATTATATTTTAACAACCCTACAGAAATCTGAGGAAAGGCTTCCAGTGAGGAAGCCTGTAACAATTTTTTTTTTTTTAACTGAAGAGTTAAACAAAGAGATTACCTAAAGGGAGAAGGCCTGAGTTGTCTTCAATAAACTCAACGGCAGCAACATAATAACCAGCTGAAGGGCTAGTAAACTCTGGTTGTTAGGCATTGAATCCCTTCTTTCAGCTTTTTCTGCTCACTTGTTCAATATCTATTGGCAAAGCAGAAGAAAGAAGGCATGTAGGGGTTTCAGCATGGCCTTGCCCCTCAGGCAGCAGCTGTGTGCTGGGAGCCTCTGCATCTGATCTTGCAGCTAGGAGGGCAGAAGGTCCTGGACCAGCCTCTGGCAGTTGAGGATTCACTCTTATGAATTCAGCAGTTGTACCTCAAGGGATCCCACAGCTATTCACAGTGGCATCCTAATCTGAAACTGGCCCTGGTTAGAAGAGGTGAAATTGGGCTGTTTTTGCAAAGTACTTCCACTGAGTTGGCTATACCAGGAATGTCCCTCCATCCTGAAGAATGGAGGACCATTAGGAGAACGCCTTCATTTTTGATCCTGCACTTGAAAGAACAATTGCTGTATTCTTTCTCAGTCTTTTCATGAAGCATTTGCATTGTACTGTCTTTGTTTGTAGAGCCTGTCCTTGCAGAATGAAGGTCCTAATGACAAAAGGTGTGTGCATCCCCATGTGGATTTGAAGAATCTTAGCCCCATGTAGAAGAACCTAAGTAACCTACTAGACTTATTCACTCTTTTACTACTTAGTAATTTATTTTATCCTCAGGAGCTACCAAAATAACCTGTACTTAAACCACAGTAGTTTAACAAATATCCATAAGCTAAACTTCACTAACAATCATAAAAGATTTTTTGTATCAACTAGAAGGTTTGTTAAATTAAAATTCACATTTTCATATCTTGAGAGGAAATAACTAATCATTTTAATCACAAGCTGAATTACAGAATGCCAAAAAATGTTAGTTAATCCTGCACATCTGTCACTGTATTATTACAATGAAAAAGAACATGGCTAAATCAGGAATGTAATTTTTGTCCTTCCCCTCCAGTCTTTTGAGAAGTTCATAAAAGATGCATCAGATTGTCTTGTGAAATGTAATGAAAACAAAATATAGTTTGCATGTGCAATGTGGATTGCATTATTTCCATCAATTTAAAAGCCCACAGCTGACAATTATATCCTAACTTAGTTATTATCACAGCATTGTAATTATTTGGGGTGTACACTCCTCCTTCAGGCAAATTTGTAGAAGACCTTGAAGAAGAATTTACTTAGTATCCCTTTTTTGCAGAAGAGATGCAACACACATGTTCTACAAATGTCAAATGGACCTTACATGCAACAGCAGGACTCTTTCATTTATTCCCTTCTGAGCTCTCAGCTAGAGTATGCTTGACATTGAATTTTTAAAACTTTTTTTCATAACATCTGTGAAAATGAACTAAGGTTTCGTTGTGTTATACAAAGATTTTGATTTTAAATATCTGAGAAACTAAAATAATTTAAAAAAATAAAATTAAGGATATTTTGACTAAAAATTTATTTAATTTATTTAATTTCTATATAACTTTTTAGTGGCATTGAAAGAAAAGTGCCCGAAGTTTAAACTGCCCTTGCAAGCATGCCATTTCCAGTTTGCTATTCACAAATTATTTAGGTGTTAATGATTCTGCACCTTTACATGACCTACTTTCAACTGCAAATTTCACTCTGCAAATTTCACTCATGTGATGGAGATGGGAAGTTTTGCTATGACAGCTGCTGTGGAATTCGCCCATGAAAGGAATCACAGAATGGTTTGGGTTGGAAAGGACCTTAAAGATTATCTCGTTCAAAACCCCCTGCCAGGCAGGGTCACCTTCCATGATATCAGGTTGCTTAAAGCTCCATCCAGCATGGCCTTGAACACTTCCAGGGAGGGGACACTTCCAGAGAGTTCTCTGTGTAACCTGTTCCAGCACCTCACCACCATCACAGTAAAGAATTTCTTCCTAATATCCAATCTAAACCCACTCTCAATTTAAAGCCATTACCTCTTCTCCTGTCATTGCACACCCTTGTGAGAAGTCCCTCTCCAGATCTCCTGTAGGTTCCATTTAGGCACTCAAAGGCTGCTCTGAGGAATTATGTGTGCAAATTAATAAGTCCTTTAAGACCTGCTTGAAAACAGGTTCTTATTTTACTAACAGGACATTACTTGTAGAATAAGTCTATAAAATGTTTTGTTAGATATTTCTGCAAATTTTGCATAAGAACCGAAAGTATATATTTTTTTTTCACTGCCAAAAGAAATCTTTTAATAAATTGCTGCAAAACTGTGGATGGCAGGAGATTGATCTGCCATTGAAGTCACAAAAGTTCATACATGGAAATGAGAGTCACTATACTCGTTAATTGCGAATTTGAATCAGATTTCGAAGCCCCATATTTTTCCTAAGTTTTCTTATATACTGTACTATCAGAACAGAATGCTGAGCAGATGAAGATTTACCAATGATACTGTCTTACTGTCCTTACTGTGTTGAGGCATTGATTGCAAATTTGCAGAAAAGGAAGACATAGCTCTTCTCTTTTAAATAATACCAAGTTCTCAGAGCATTTTTATAGCATTTTTCCAGAAGAGCACAATTCCTATCTATTTTCAGCCACAGAAGTTTCTCTGATGGAATCAGCGCTACCCAGACAGGTGGGGCCCTTGTTTGCATTTGTGAAGGTAAATTTGGTGTTCCTCAGCATGTTCAACTCTGAACCTTCTCAGCCAATTTATGAAAATTGCTGCCACTGAGATCACATTCAGCTGAGACCTCAATTTGACATTTCCTCCCCAATTAAACCTTTGTTTTTGAAGACAATGATAGGAAAGAGGGGAAGGCAAAACTGTCAATCACAAAGAGGAGTGTGCAGTTAGATGTAGGATAAGAATGGATTAAGAAAGTAGGAGGCAGCTGAAGTCTAAACATATAATTTTGCAATTAAAAATGATGTAGCTACTTTCTTCTTTGTATTTTCAATAACAATAACTATTCTTTTTGGATTAATGAAATGAACCTTTGAAACTGTATGGGATATAAAAGAGATAGTAGTTTCTTACTTTTGAGTTCTTTGGATACAGCAGCTTCTTTTTTATCTGTAAGAGAAAAAAACAAACATATGCATAAAAACATAGTAAGGATAAAGGTGGAAAGAAAACCGTAGTGTGTGCTTTAGAGGTGAAACAGCTTATTTGCTATAAAGTGCATTGGAATGATACACTGATTCATTCCTCTTCTGTTTGTTCTGTGGTACAGTGGCACTAATTGTACCCCAAGTGTAAATACGGGAAAGCCTGTGTGACCCTGAACACTCTTGTTTACTTTTGGCGCAGTAATCTGTGGGGTTTGACACGTGGCTGAGTTACCATGGCTTACATGCAGCAGCTGAGCTATGGATGCTCACCATGTGTATGGGGTCAGACTGCAGAAGCAAAGGGAGGATGTGCTCATGAGGAAAGGCACTCTCTTCCTGCAGTTGTTGACAATCACACAACTGAGGCCTACTTTAGATGATTTTGTACTTACCATCTATTGAACTTAGAGGAACTCTGCCCTACACATAGTCCATGGAGAAGCAGGCAAAATTCATCCCTGGTTGACTTGAATACAATTGAAATTACTTAGCTGAATCAAAATGCAACATGGCCAAACAATCTACCAGAAAGACTTCACTAGGCTGCTCAGTCTAACTTAAGGTCGGATATTTGGGCAACCTTTGCAGGACTTTTTTCTGATGGCCAAGAGATTTGGAATCTTTACTGAGGTGATATAAGTGTGCAGAAATACACAGAGATAGCTTCTCTCTCTGTTATAATTTCTAGTGCTATTCTACCTCAGGGCTTTTAGCTGGGTAAAAAATTTTAGAAATAGTCCTGGTGCTTCACATACCTTTTTCACTAGTCTCACCTGTACAACCAAGAAATTACTCGTGGAGATCTTGTGAGACAGGAACAAAGGCCTGCATAGAGCAGTGGTAGAAGGTATTCCCCTGGATGGTTACATGGAAATTAACATCCTCTCTAATTAACTATAGTGTTTCTGGAATGTAGGCAGGATAATTCTTATGTCCACAACATATATGAATGATAAATGAATTGTGCTCTTAAACACTAATATAAGGAATACTTCAGGGCAGAAACTGTCAAATTAAATTGCTTGCAAATCCAAGACTATCCCATTACTTCTAATAATAGAAAGTTGCTTTTTTCCCCATTGCTTTCTAAATTGCTGTGAAGAAGTTGATATGAGATAAGGTAATGCAAATGACTGCCAAGTAGTCTAATAATCTTGAAAAATTTGGAAGAAAATATATGTCTGCCTGAGTGATATGCTGCTCTGAACTGAAATATTTCTGGCTTAATCCTCTGCTTCCACTAACTCTCTGGGAAAGCATGTTCTGCAGGCATTACTTCAAAGTATGATAATTACCACATTTAGATGAAATTAATCATGAAGGCAGCTTCCAGCCATGTTATCTGGAAAAGGAGCCTATTGAAGCCTTCAAGTTGCCAGATATGGAAATTTTGAAAGGTATATATTGCAGTGATATGAATCATTTATCAGAATAATCTTCCATTGCTGGAGGTTATAAAAAATAAATAAATTGACACCATGATTTACAATAACAGACTGGATCTAAATAAAGCCTTCAAGTTCTTTTCTTTTTTCATATAAGTTGCCATTTATTAGGGCAAGATACTTTCATAAATTTCAAACCCATAATTTATTTTGAATGAATCAATGTGTTTTCCCATCATCTGAAATATATAACATATAGTAAATATAGTTAATAGCTGGAAAAATTTTCAAGTAAGAAAATTTTATAATTTGGGGGGTTTGTGTATTTTTTTTTGTTTTTAAAGTGCAGAAAAATTACCAATACTTGATTCCAACAGCAGATAGTAATATGAAGATGTAAATAGTGTTAGGATATTATTTTCAAGCCAAGGTGTCTAACATTTGATTTGTAAAGTCATATTTAACCAACTAGGTTGGAGTGATTTACAGAAAATTGTCCAGAGGAGGTTGTGTAGGACCTTGAACCATGGAAGTACCTTTGAAGGTATATAGCATTTACATCTACACATGTCAATGAAATAAATCACTTAGTTGCAAAGAAATTAACAACTGGTAGATCTTAGAGAAGGAAGGAAAGCTGATCAGGACTTCTGAAGTCCCTAAATATGGTTACCTGCCCTAAGGCACAATTAACACATACCTTACCAACTCAATGGAAAACAACACCAAAAATGACTTGGCCAATGAGTTATACTGGTGCAATTTGAGACAGTGAGAAATTTGTCTCATTAATTTTTACTTTACTGAGGTCTAGGGTTTAACTTTTAAGCTATGGGAGTGTGACTGGGAACATAGCTAATATACAATCAGGTTTTAATATTCATTATGTATTTTTCTTAAAAAAAAACAGCAATGTGTTCTCTTGCTTCTAGGTGGGTATTTTTTTTCATGTTAGTTAAGAGGAGGAATTTCCAAAAAACCCAATTTCTTCAGAAAATTTTGAAGACACATTTGATATTTAGGTTTTCTTAAAGGGCTCCTGTAAACAACCCAAATACTTTGCAACTCAAATATTTGGGTACCTCTGACAACCCTATCAATTTCCTTTCCTTGAAAAAACCTGCAGCAGACTTTAAAGGGCTAAGCTGATAAAATAATTCATCATCTGTGGAACACTGTAAAGCATCCTTTTCTTTTTATATCTATTCTCCAGAGGTATTTGAAGACAATTGTATTCTGGTCTGTATTCTCAAAAAGTAAGCATGCTTGTACAAGCTCTCCTCAGGTGAATGAACAGCTTTTTCTTTTATTGACTCTTAGTCTTTAGTGAAAGACAAAAGTACAGTAATGCTTAAAAAATTATTTTATTAAAAACCACCAAATATTTAAACAAATACGATCTTTGTTCTTATCTCTACAGGCTAAAATGATCAAATTTGAATTCAGACTAGGAACTAGCATTTGGCAGCTGGCACAGATGTATCTCAGTAGAACAGCAAAGCTGTATTTTATTTTTTTTGCCTCTTTTTAGCACATAGCTCAATCTTTTCCTCAGGACTCGATCAGCATTCGTTTGAAGTAAACTACCAGTACACAGTAACTACAAATGACATCTAAACTGCACATGGGGCAAGAAAAAAAAAATCCCTCTAAGCTTATATAGTGCCTTTCATGGCAGTGAGTCCCTAGGAGGTTGGTAATAAGCTATTAGACAAGGATGCCCCAGTGCTCTGTTACAGAGTTTGGTTGTTTGAGTTTAAACAAACTTCGAAAATGGAATATTTCAAACACTACTATGAAGTGAATTCCAGATATGAGGTTCACAAAACTTTTACACCTTTTTAACAATGGATTTATAAAACAGTGTACATTGTACATTTCAGAACAGGAGATCTGCTCATGCAGCCTATATTTTTGGTAACTAAAAGGAAGTTCTGGGAAATAAATGGATCTCAAATTGTACTCTCTTGAAAGGCTTCTCTGTGTCTTTTTTCCTAGAAATCTCTCACTCAAACATACCTAGGGGTATTAAAAAGACCTTAAAGTATTATTCAGATAAATGAGTATTTCAGAGACAGTATATTGATAGCTCGGATAATGGTGCACCATGTTAAAATAGCAGCTAAAACCCTTCTAATTAGAAAAATTCTTGTATATGTTGTATCTTTCTATTTGGAATCTTACAAAAGAACATGTTGATAATATCAAATTTGCAAACAGAAATTATTTTCAACATTAATGGGCAACCACAATTCCCAAGTTGAATGGTAGATAATATCCTAATCAAACATGCTGTAACCCAATAGATTCTTCTGCTGCTGATCTGGACTAAGTACTAAGACCCTGGGGATTACCAGATGCCTCTGGAAGATATGATTCACTGAATCAAAAACTAAAGAAAAAATTAAAATGTTAAGCAGTTACTGGAAGAAGGAATTTTCACCTGAAACCTCAGCTAACACTTTCAACTTCTTCTGTTTTCTACCTGATGATCCCATACTAGAATGGACCTAATCAAATCTCACTGACTGGGTAATAGTCTACACATACCCACAGAAAACAGTTGTGTGATGAAAATGCCTCACACAACATTACCATAGTTCTCCAAGCAGAATGTTCCTAATGAGACTCACACAAATCTTGTCTCATTTATTGGTTCTGTTGTTTATTTTGACATTGATATTCAATTCATCTCGTGATTTAAAGTCAGAGAATAAAAAGAGAAAATGGCAGAAAAATGATCAGAGACTTAAAGAATCAGAAAGAATTGTGTTGAAAATAAAAATAATATTTTCCAGTGCTTTGAAATCAAAACTGTGTTGGTTTTTCAGAAACAAAACCAAAAACTCCTGGCTGTTACTACCAACCAAAGCACAGTCAATCGAGTGCATGCTTTGGGAGCTTGGTTCTGGCTTTGCAAGTACATGCAACAGCAGAGTTTCATGACATTGCAGCTTTCAAGTATGACAGCTAAGGTTCCCTTTGCTGCCCTGAGCAAGGGTTCACATGACTGGAAATAAAAATGATAGCAGGTGGCATCTGATGGCTGAGAACTTCCATCATGTGAATGGAAAACATCATTATAGTCACCTAGAGACCAGTCTCACTACTGTCTGCTCCCAGTCTAGCAGATGTACCAGAATTTAGAAACAATTTATTAAGTGGCACAATTTGCAGCTAATGTGATTTACAATGGTAAAAGAGGAACACACCCCAGATAGCTGAGCATTTTTCAAAATGAGCTGTTCAGCATGTAGTAATTACCCGAGAATCGTCAAACCTTTTATTAAAATATATTGTGGTTTAATTTTTTTTTCATTTACTTGGAGTTCTTAAAACTATTTCCAAAATATAGTATTGATTTCAAATAATATTCTAACAATTCTGAGAAGTGTTCATTCCTGAAATGCCTTTAAGAATTTTTTACTGAGATGCTTTTTAACTTATATTATTTTTTGGTAATTTTTCACTAATTACATGTCATTATTGAAGTAATTTTTACCTTACCACATCTCAAAGCTTTTCAGAGTATTTTTAAATTTTGATTTCAGACACTTCTGAAACAGCAGATGCCCAC